GCTTTTATACTGACCAAAACGCACACTCATTCCGACACAGGTGGCCAGCCTATGTTGGAAGAAGTAGCCAGCACTATTTATAAAGGTCTCCAAAGGTCGATAGAAACCTGGACATACTTACTTTTACCAGCTTCTAGTACATGAGTATCACAGAGAGAATGTATTAAGTGAGTTGTATAGGGGGTCATAAGTCCACAGTCCATCACAGACCTTTCCACTGCAGGTCTTGATGCAGAACTTTAGCGTAAAAAAGGTTGCTCCCTTCACCTTAAGAAGGACTGAAAACATCCATAAAACGGATGTCCTAAGATCAAATTTCAGTTCATTCAGTCATTGACAAGGGGGTGTCCTGGGGCAGTGCTGACTCTTTCCAGTGTTTCACCCATCGAGCTGGCACCCACCGCAGACCAGAATCTGTAATTACGAATATGCATAATAAAATATGTACATTTACGAGTATTCACAAGATGTAATAAGGTTTTTAACAAGATCCACAACCTGTGATTAGTGACTTCTTGTAAAATTGCCCTTTCTATACGTTGAACAATGTTTACAACTTACAAAGAATCGCAGACAATAGTAAGAGGGGTGTCAGGCCATCGTTGAAATACTGCCATAACAGCACTTAGCTCTAGTGTTTGTAGCAAATTGGAAAAATGACCAAATATCTTCTGCTCTTTCCAACCATCGTCTGTCAAACATATCTGGCTGTGTGATTGATTTTGCTTGCATCTGTAAAGACAGTTAATGCTACAACAGGTTTACTAGGATAAAAGGTAACATCTTCAAACTGATTATTCTTTAGCATTGTAAACATATTATGAGGTGGAAAATGTATATTAAGAGGACCAACAAAACCTATCAGAGCAAACTGAACAGCAGAGCTAGATTGCTGTGCCCAGTCTAACCATACCCTGGTAAGTGGCAAACAAATTTGTGATGGATCACAGCCCATAATTTTCTGACAACGTGAACAACCTCGTATAATCAAAAGAGCAAATACTTCTAACCAAGTAGTTACAGTAGTCGCTACTCTCTGTCTGGTGCAATTACCAGTCCTGCTTTCGCTAATTCTGATTGTAGCAGGTAGAGCAGACAGTCCTTGTTTAAATCTTTGCCAGCAATTGGGATATCATCCATATAGTGATAGATAACACGTTTTTGCAGATTTTATCGGATCGGTTGCAATACTCGGGCAACATACAGTTGACAGATAACAGGAGAATTTTTCATACCTTGAAGTAAAACAACCCATTCATATCTCTTAGCAGGCTCTCCTTTGTTAATTGCTGGGACAGAGAAAGCAAATTTTTCACAATCGCTTGGGTGTAGAGGAATTGTGAAAAAAGTCTTTTAAATCAATTACTATTAAATCCCAACCCTGAGGTATCATTAAGGGGCTAGGCAAGCTAGGTTGCACAGCAATGACATTCAATTGTCTTGTGTCCAAATTTGTCATATCTAATACATTTATCTGCAAAACCAGTAACACTGCCGGGGAGGGGGGCGGCTGCTGGACTAATTTTCTTTACAGTACACTGTTTCTTTTTAAAATGTCCCGTCTGTCCACAATTATAACATCTCATACCCTTAGCACCCCACGATCGCCCTAACCTGATTGTAGAAGGGGTTTAACAGCAGTGGCAAAGGCAGTAGCCTTGTATCCAGCCTTTTCCTCTGCTGTGCTCACTTTAAATCATATCTGAAGGTGGGGAGTAAGCAACAGTTGAGCTATCATACAGATATCACATGGTGCTAGGATATATGCAGAAAAAATACTTGCGATAACTGCCTGAGTATACGATGATTTTAACCCATAGGATGTTACCGTCTGACGGGCCTCCTTTACTGCCTTTAAATCCAATGCCTCCCACTTCTTTCCCCCCTGTGGAGTGTTAAACACCAGGAATGCCGAGGGACTCATAGCCAAAAATTCCCCCATAACAATTGCATCTTTGATCATCCCACGCCAACACTTAGCAGGGTTATTACTGTAATCCCCTACCCCATGCCCAACACCCCCCTCCCACTCCCCTTTCTTTACTACTGGATTGTAGGAGGGTGGGGCAGAGGGTTTGGAGGTTTCTTTTGTCTCCAATACTTTAATTTCTCAGCAGCTGTCGCAGGTCACCATCACTGAGGCTGGTTCGCATCTGCCGATGAGCCGAACTGTCTGAACCGTCTGAGTCTGAGTTGGGATCAGGAAGGGGAGGGTACAAGTCCGGTTCTGCCGGAGACTCTGAGTGTGGTTCCAGTTCCGATTCGGGGTCTTCTTCCTCTAGGTCGAAGGTGACCATGTTTGCACTTTCTACTTGTACTTTCGGACGCAAGCACTGTTTCACTTTATCTTCCCCCTTATGCTGAGGAGGCTTCTGTGGTGCATAAGCGAGAAGGGTGATAAACTCTTTCCCTAAGTCTATTTCTTTCCCTATACCTCGCTTCTCTAAGAAGCATTTAAATAAATCATAGGCTGTCTTTCCATATCCATTTTTATATTTTTCACAAGTTATATAGCTTTTTATATTCTTCACAAGTTACACAGCTTTACACAGCTTTTTATATTCCTACACAGCTTTTTATATTCTTCACGAGTTACACAGCTGTGGCGCCAATGCCGCTTACCCCGCAGACAGCTAAATTAGCGGGCGGCGAAGGCAGAGGCTCCTCTACCGGTGAACCAGCTCCTCTCCTCCAGGTCCTCGAGGCGACTCGGTACTCTTGTCCAGCAAGATCGGTGCCTTTGACCCTCCGGACGCTGCTTTTCCGGTGCTTCCCTGCTCCACTCGTGTGAACCCCAGCCTCTACGGGTACCTGGGTTCCTTTGCCTTGCCTTGGTCTAAGTCCCTTGTTCGGGCACCAATTTGTCAGAGACTCTATGTCGTCGCGATGCGGAAGGAACACAGCACAATCAATATGATTGATAGAAGTGATCTGTTTATTCTGCTTACGCCTAGGGTATATATAGAGCTAGACTGCTACACACACACATTCCTGGGAAACTCCTGTGGTTACATCTTTTTCTAGCATCCTTGTTCCCCCCTTCAGGATACTCTTTAACTACAAGGTCAGCTTATCCTTTTGCACAGCTGATGTTTTACCAAGCTGGGTTTCTTACTGACTTTTACAAAACTGGTCCCTGGCCAAGTTCAGCCATGGGAATGTAACCCTTACCTGCTACCCATGCTTCCACATCCCACCCGCCACCAGGAAACAAGGTGTCTCATCTAGCAGCCCATGATTGAAAAAGCCACAACCCTGCCTTTGGTACCAGTAATGTAGCCATACATTAATCTGCAGACTCTTTCTATTTATCTCTTCACCCTTGCTTGTAACAGGTATGGAGGAAAACACCACTTGCGCTTCAGAACCTCTAACCAGCTGTCCCAGGGCCCTGAAGTCTCTTCTCCATTGCCCTTGCCCTCCTTGTAATAACTTCATCACTGCCAACCTGAAAAAACAGCGGTGGATAGTAGTCAGAGGGCTGCACCAGATCAGAGAGTTTCCTTTTAACATCTCTAATCTGAGCCCCAGGCAGGCTGCACACTTCCCTGTGGGATGGATCTGGTTGACAAATGGGCCCTTCTGTTCCCCTCAGAAGGGTGTCACCCACCACAATTACTCTTATTTTCTTCTTGGTTGAAGAAGTTCTAAGGCATGAGGGTGAGTGACAAGCCCTAGGTGACTCACTAGATAGATCTAGCCCTCCATCTCCATTTACCTGGCCCAAGACCTCATACCCATTATTCAAGGGCAACTGGGAGGCAGGAAGGGATTGCAAGGGTTTTTGCTTACCTCCCCGAGGAGAAATATGGAAAAAGTTAACTTCATGGTTACCTAATCTCTCCTGTTTGAGGCAACTGGTTGCAGAAATATTAATACTAATTGTTTTAACACTGATTACTTGTGACATGATACATAGCAAAGGAATTTGCAAAGGTAAAAGAAAAGGGGGACTGGATATAAGGAAAGCAAGTGCCTGGAAAACATAGGGTTAAAATACTTTTAGCTTAGGTCTAAGATAGAGAACAATGTTTGGGTTGTCAGTCTGTGGTGTGATAACAGAATTTAGTAGTCTTAATAACAAGAGTGAATTGTTTCCTTTCATCCCTGTAATGAGTGAATTATTTCTTACCATCCTTCTAAGTATCAGTTTGGATACAGTGACTCCGGAACATCTGCTAGCTTGAGAGGCAATAAATTTTGCACGAAAGTCACACATAACGACACCTCTGATTTGCAAAAGCCAATACATTTATGTGTTTATCACAATAAACCACCTGTGAGACAGGAACCACCACAAGAGGAAAGTGGGGATTGCCAATCAGACACCCCTCCAGGCAGTCCAGTATCCTCTCATACCCGAGGAAGGCAAGGGCAGGAAATATTGCAAGCAGAACAGGATGGGCAGACAAGGAGTATCCTAAGCTAGCAGATGTTCGGGAGTCACTGTCCCCAGACTAACTGGTAACTAGAAGGATGGTAAGAAATAGTTCACTCACGTTAGTAAGACTACTAAATTCTGTTATGACACCACAGACTTACACCGCAAACATTGTTCTCCATCTTAGACCTAAGTTAAGCTAAAAGTATTTTAACCCTATGTTTTCCAGGCACTCGCTTTCCTTATATCCCTCGGTACCGACAGGCCCGCGGGGGGAGCCTCGCCGTAGGACGGCACCATCGCCACCGGCAGCCCAGCGCCGTCACCTTCCTCCGGCCTTGGAGGCGAAGGCAGCGCCCGCCGTTGGTCGCTGCCGTCACGGGGCAGCGCCCCCTGGTGCGCCGGTCCAGCCGCTGAGGGCGGGCCTGGCCGGGCCGCAGGGAGCGGGGCCTGACCCGGTAGGGCTTGGCCCGGAAGCCCGCCCACCGCGGCCGCGTGAGCTTCCCTGGCAGGGGGTGCTGCGGGCCCTTTGCTCTCCTCTGCACGCCTCGTGGAGCCGGGGTGCCTGCTCGGCGCGGAGCCGCTAGCTCCCGAGCCGCGCCGCTGGTAGCGGTCGGTGAAAGGCCAGCTCGCCTGACCCTCTTCGTTTCTTTCCCCGGAGCAGGCCCCCGGAGCGGAGCCGGAGATGCTCATGCACATGGATCAGAAGGAGGAACTGCGGTTGTCCCGTCCCCGCTCCTGCGAAGGGAAGAGTGCTCTGAGCGGCACCTCAGGTAAGGGCCATGAGTGTGAACCCGTCATGAGAAAGAGTGCTGCGGGAGCACCAGCGCCCCCAGAATGTAGAAGGGCGGCGGTGCTGGGTTGGAGCAGGGCCTGTCCAGCTTCACCTGCTGCCTGTGACAACGGTATTCATAGCACCACAGGCCACCAGGCTGGGAGGGATCTCAAGGATCATCCAGTACAACTTTTCCAGGCAAAGCATGACCTGGACTGGATGTCCCAGTGCCCTGTCCAGCTGAGTCTTTAAAGCATCCAACAGTGGGGAGTGCACCTCTTCCCTGGGGAGATTATTGCAATGGCTGGGTGTTCTCACTGGGAAAAGTTTTCCTCTTGTGTCCAACCAGAATCTGCCCAGGAGTCACTTGTACCCCTCGTCTTTTCCATGGGACCCCTTGTGAAAAGGGAGCCTCCATCTTCTTCATAGCCACCCTTAAATACTGGACTGTGGTGATCAGGTCTCCCCTGAGCCTTCTGTTCTCTGGGCAGAACAAGCCCAGCTCTCTCGGCCTTTCCTCATACAGCAGGCACCAGGCCCAGCCCCTGATCAAGACCCAGAGAAGGGCAGACAAGCAGTGATGTGTCCCTGTATCCTTTCACAGGCCTGAGGCGTCTGTGGCTTCAGAAGCTCCTGAACTAGGCACATAACGTCTCAAGATCTCTCTTCTTGCCTTCTCAAGCTGCGCACATTGTAGCATCCATGGCAGCTTGCAGCAAGGAGTTCCCCAGCTTATTTAGGTGATTTATGAATTGCTGCCTCCTTTAGTTTGCTTTGAAAGTGCCTTTTACTGCTGGCAGGAGTTCTTAATTTAGAACAGATGGTGCAGGATAGATGCCAAACCACCCCACAGGCCACTTGTGTTTTTACAGTCCTCTGTGATACCCCTATCAGCTGTACCTTTTCCCAGCAGAATGGGCAGTTGACTCCTCTCCTATACAGGATCTGTTCTGTGCCTCTGATGGTTCCTGTCATGCCTCTGTCTTCCTCAGCTCTGTCAGAGTGTCTCTGACATGGGGGATCCGTCCTCCCCCTTGCACACAGTCAGAATGTGGGGTTTGAGCTGCGAGACAGAATTTCCTTCTCTTTTCTTCTCTGTTCTTTCCCCCCAGCACTCATTGATGCTTGACTGGCTGTGTTGTGTGCCTAGGCGCTGCAGTTTTCATCCAGCTGCTCAGACTCCAAGGTGCTATTCCTGAATGATATCAAGAACATCCTAGGCCCAGCCTGGTGTAAGTGCAAGCTGTAGAGGCTGTTCTCCTCTGAAGGTCTTTGTTTACCTGCAGTGACCGTCCCCTGTCACCTGGTTGGTCAGTATCTCAAGGCTCTGCCACAGTTCGTAGTCAGCCTGTGTGGTTTTAGCCCTGAGGAACACAAAATCGTCAGCAAATGTTTGCACCTCCCTTTTCCCTTCCTTACCACCCTGTCAGGTTCATTCATGCCAGAGCAGCTTAGCTTCTTTACCAGTTTTGGTGAAGGATGAATGTCTTTCGAGAATGCCTCTGGACCCCACATGTCCCTTTTCTCTGCTTACCTGGATCTTGCCTTGTAGCTATATCACTGGCAGTCTTGGGCATATCAGAGGTCTTGCCATCAACCTAAACTGGCAAGGGCTGAGGAAGAGCCACATTCTTCGTGTCTCTCTTGCATATTCACTTTTGCCAGTTCAGCCTTATGCTTCTAGTATTCCTCATCATTGTGAACTTGCTCTACTTTCACTTGAAATACTTCCAGTGGGGTCCTATCTTGGTTTTATCAAAGCCTTTACAGACAGCATGTCCTAGATGCCAGTGAAGGTACCTAGTAGCTGAGAAGTAACAGAAATGATTGTAGAAGTGCTAGAGCCATGACAATAATTGTAAAAAGAAGCTTGACACTCCTGATCTTCCCCCAAAAGTATAGAACACCATAGAAAACTTAATTGTCACAAACTTGTGAAGGCTTTTTCAAGGTCAGCACAAGGAATCAACAAAAGCCCTTTGTCTTGAACAGGCTTTCAGGTGACCTTGGGTCTGCGCAGGGAACATTCGTACCAGTAACGCTTCTGCAAGACTTTATGTACATAAGAGGGCAGGGATCTGTTCATTGCCTGTGTCCCAGGAGCAGTTCATAACTGTTCAGCTAGCGTTTATTTGACTTCTACCTACCTTCATCTTCTGCATGCATTGGATTTCCTCAGTGCATGATCTGGAACCAGCCATAGGGGATCTTCACTCACAATCTTGCACGTACAAAGGATTTGTTCTGCACCAGTGAAATCATAAAGTTAATTTGCTTCAGCTCTAAGACTGGCATAAGGCAGGCTTCAGGAGGCATCCGTGTCTCATGCCTTGTGTATCTTCTCTTTCTCTGCAGTACCAGCAGCACAAGAGCAGAGAGATACTGTTGCAACCCAAGTAATGTTCTGCTGAACATTGATGTTCTTTATGGCCTTCCTCTGAGTTCCAAGTTCAACTTCTAGTAACATCCTATGGAGACAAGCAGAGAGAGCTGGGTTTGTTCAGCCTGGAGAAGAGAAGGCTCTGGGGAGATCTTAGAGCAGCTTCCAGCACCTAAAGGGCCCAGCAGGAAATGTGGAGAGGGGTTATTCACAAGAGCAAGTAGGAACAGGAGAAGGCGGAATGGCTTTAAACTGACAGAGCGGAGATGTAGAAAAGGTGAAAGAAGTTATTCCCTGTGATGGTGCTGAGGCTCTGGCACAGGTTGCCCAGAGGAGCTGTGGCTGCCCCATCCCTGGCAGTGTTCAAGGCCAGGTTGGATGGGGCTTGCAGCAGCCTGGTCTTGTGCAAGGTGTCCCTGCATGTGGCAGGAGGCTGGAACTGGATGTGATCTGTAAGGCACATTCCAGGTAAAACCATTCTGTGGTTCTATGATTTTCAGGTACAACATCCTGGAAGAGCAAGCATCTTTCCCATATAAGCAGTAAACTTTTGCCTCTAATATGCCAGTGATTTCAGTAGATTCAGGTTCTGGTGAGGCATGCTGGGCAATTTACAGCATTTGCTCCTGTGAACACTCTGAAAAATCCACTGTGTAGTTTGGAGGAAATACCATGTCCTGAACGCAGGATATACCAGAATGTTTTATACTTAAAGTCAATCTGTCTGCTGAATTTTTGGCATTTGGCCCCTTGGGATTTGCCCTGTCAAAGCTTCCAGTCCTGCCTGTGACTTGTCTGGATTCTCATTTTATTGCAGGTGAAGATGAGATTGTGAGCATGAATGAAGACAATGCCAGTCAAGGCATCCCCAGGCCAGCGGAGCCCAAGGGTTTATGCTCAGGACTGTCTGAGGCGAACAGTTCCCAGGGTCCTGCACAGAACCCTGTTCTCCCACGCAGGTCAGAAAGGATTCAGAGATCTCTGGGGAAGAGGCAAAGCCGAGCAACAGTGTGTGGAAAACGCTTCAGGATGCTGCCGGATGTTATCCAGCAGAGAAACCCTTCCATGGGGAGACTGACGATAGATGGGGACTGCGGGAAGAGTTTCCAGGTGAGCTCCGACCTCATCCAGCATCAGAGAATCCACACTGTAGAAAAACCCTTCTCCTGCACCGAATGTGGGAAGAGTTTCCAGCACCGGTCACATCTCATACATCACCAGAGGATCCACACAGGGGAACGGCCCTACGAGTGCTCCGAGTGCGGGAAGAGCTTCAGAGAGAGCTCGAAGCTGATCCGGCACCAGGTAACCCACACTGGGGAGAAGCCCTACAAGTGTGCCGAGTGTGGGAAGAGCTTCTCTGGGAACCCACAGCTCCTCCAGCACCAGTGGGTGCACACTGGGGAGAAACCCTACGAATGCAGGACCTGCGGGAAGAGCTTCACTGTGAGCTCAAAGCTGATCCAGCACCAGGTAATCCACACCGAGGAGAATCCCTACAAGTGTGCTGAGTGCGGGAAGAGCTTCTGTGGGAACTCTCAGCTCATCCTGCACCAGCGGGTGCACACTGGGGAGAAACCGTACGAGTGCAGGACCTGCGGGAAGAGTTTCAGCGTGAGCTCAGCCCTGACACGACATCAGTGGGTCCACACCGCGGAGAAGCCCTACAAGTGTGCTGAGTGTGGCAAGAGCTTCCCCCAGAGCTCGAAGCTCATCCAGCACCAGCGGGTGCACACTGGGGAGAAACCCTATGAGTGCAGGACCTGCGGGAAGAGCTTCAGCTTGTCCATAGCCCTGACACGACACGAGCGGGTCCACACTGGGGAGAAACCCTACATGTGCAGGACCTGCGGGAAGAGCTTCAGCGTGAGCTCAAGCCTGACACGGCACCAGCTGGTCCACACCGGGGACAAACCCTATGAGTGCTCTGAGTGCGGGAAGAGCTTCAGTGTGAGCTCGACACTGATCCAGCACCAGGTAACCCACACTGGTGAGAAGCCCTACAAGTGTGCCGAGTGCGGGAAGAGATTCTGCGGGAACTCGCAGCTTGTCCGGCACCAGCGGGTGCACACTGGGGAGAAGCCTTACAAGTGTGCTGAGTGTGGGAAGAGCTTCTCTGACAACATGCAGCTCATCCGGCACCAGCGGGTCCACACTGGGGAGAAGCCCTATGCCTGTGCCCACTGTGGGGTCAGCTTTCGGCAGAGTGGCCACCTGATTCAGCACCTGCGCGTCCACACTGGGGAGCGTCCCTACGTCTGTGCAGAGTGCGGGAAGGGCTTCAAAGAGAGCTCAGCGCTCTTCCGGCACCAGCAGACCCACAGGCGTGGGGGGCCCTAGGTGGTGAGTGTGGGGAGCAGTGAGGTCTGATACTCTGTGAGCAAAGCCTGGTGTCTCCCCCTCACATTGACCACCCTGCTTGTGGAGGATGAAAGCAGTTTCATTCTAGGAGAATGAGGCCTCATAGATGAAGAAGGGGAGAGCCGGTGGAGGGAGCTGATTGGAGGTTTTGGGGCAGTGTCGTGGTTTAACCCCAGCCAGACAGCTTTTCACTCACTCCCCCCACTTCTTGCCCTCCCCCTATTCTCGGAGGGATGGAGAAGAGAATCAAAAAGAATGCAACTTGCACGGGTTGAGATAAGAACAGTTTAGTAACTAAGGTATAACACAAATCACTACTGCTACCACCAATAATAGTAATGATAAAGGAAATAACAAGGGAAGAGAATACAACACCTCATCACCAGGTGACCGATAACTCACCCCCCCAGCCCGACCAAGCACCAACCGATACCTTCTCCAACCCTGCAGTCCACCTAGCCCTTCCGGCTAACTCCCAGTTACATCCTGGGCATGACGTGCTGTAGTATGGAATACCTCTTTGGTCAGTTTGGGTCAGGTGTTCTGTCTCTGCTTCCTCCTGGCTTCCCCTCCTCCCTGGCAGAGCATGAGGCTCACAGAGTCCTTGGCCAAACCAAAACATCATTTTTATCAGCTCTGTTCCCAGGTGAAAGTCAAAACACAGCACTGCACCAGCTACCAAGAAAGAGAAAAATGACTGCTACTGCTAAACCCAGGACGTTATCCACCCCTTATTCCATACCATTCACGTCATGCTCAGATGCTACATTTTCAATATACCATCACTCTAATCTCAGTGCACTCCTATCTTAGTGCGTGGACTAGTCCCTGTAAAGCTGCTGAGTCCACCTGTTCCATAATGTCAGGCTCCATCTCTTGTATCAGTCTTCCAGAGCAGGAGAGACTGTGTGCAGTGTTCATACTCATGAATAACCTGGACAATAGTTTCCATTGCTAAGTCCACCCCTCGATCACAGGCCCATCTGTATGTTGTATCTCTGCCCTGATGGCCTGAAGTGTCATGGGCCCACCAGCCCAAAAATAATTCACCCTTATGTTGCCAATCTAAGTCCATCTGAGCCACTTCAATCTTAGCAGCTTTATCCACTTGTTGGTTGTTCTGGTGTTCGTCAGTTGCCCGACTCTTGGGTACATGGGCATCTACATGACATACCTTCACCACCAGGCTCTGCACCCGGGCAGCAATATCTTTCCACAGTGCAGCTGCCCAGATGGATTTACCTCTACGTTGCCAGTTGCTCTGCTTCCATTGCTGCAACCACTCCCACAGGCATTTGCCACCATCCATGAGTCAGTATAAAGTACTGGCCACTTTTCTCGTTCAGCAATATCCAGGGCCAGCTGGATGGCTTTCACCTCGCCAAACTGACTCGATTCACCCTCTCCTTCAGCAGTTTCTGCAGCTTGTCGTCGAGGATTCCATACAGCTGCCTTCCATCTCCGATGTTTTCCCACAATACGGCAGGACCCATCAGTAAACAAGGCATACTGCTTTTCACTTTCTGACAGCTGATTATATGGTGGGGCCTCTTCAGCACGCATCACCTCCTCCTCTGGTGACATTTTGAAATCTTTGCCCTCTGGCCAGTCCATGATGACTTCTAGAATGCCTGGACGACTGGGATTTCCTATTCGAGCTCGTTGTGTAATTAGTGCAGCCCATTTACTCCATGTAGCATCAGTTGCATGATGCGTAGAGGAGACCCTGCCTTTGAACATCCAGCCCAGCATGGGCAACCGGGGTGCCAGGAGGAGCTGTGCTTCGGTGCCAATCACTTCCGAAGCAGCTCGAACCCCTTCATAGGCTGCCAGTATCTGTTTTTTAGTTGGGGTATAGCTTGCCTCAAATCCTTTGTATCCCCGACTCCAAAAGCCAAGGGGTCGACCTCGAGTCTCTCCTGGAGCTTTCTGCCAGAGGCTCCAGGTAGGACCATTCTCCCCAGCTGCGGTGTACAATACATTTTTTACATCTGGCCCAGTCCAAACTGGTCCAAGGGCCACTGCATGAACTATCTTGCGTTTAATTTGCTCAAAGTCTTGTTGTTGCTCAGGTCCCCATTTTAAATCATTCTTCTTACGGGTCACATAATAGAGAGGACTTACAATCAAACTAATATGGGATGTGCAGTCTCCAGAACCCCACTGCACCCAAGAAAGCTTGTATTTCTTATTAGTTGGTGGAGACATTGCTGTTATCTTGTTGATTACATCTGTGGGGATCTGTCTACGTCCATCTTGCCATTTTATTCCCAAAAATTGAATCTCCTGTGCAGGTCCCTTGACCTTACTTCGTTTTATGGCTAAACCGGCTTTCAGCAGGATTTGGATTATTTTCCTCCCTTTCTCAAAAGACTTCTTCTACTGTATCACCCCACACAATAATGTCATCAATGTACTGCAGGTGTTCTGGGGCTTGCCCCTGTTCCAGTGCAGTCTGGATCAGTCCATGGCAAATGGTAAGGCTATGTTTCCAGCCCTGGGGCAGTCGGTTCCAAGGGAACTGGACACCCCTCCAAGTAAAAGCAAACTGTGGCCTGCACTCTGTTGCCAAAGGAATTGAGAAAAATGCATTGGGAATATCAATTGTGGCATACCACTTGGCTGCCTTTGACTCTAATTCATACTGAAGTTCTAGCATGTCCAGTACGGCAGCACTTAATGGTGGTGTGACTTCATTCAGGCCACGATAGTCTATTGTTAGTCTCCACTCTCTGTTAGACTTTCATACTGACCATATGGGGCTATTAAAGGGCGAGCGGGTCCTGCTGATCACTCCCTGACTCTCCAGTCTACGAATCAGCTGATGGATAGGAATTAGGGAGTCTCGGTTGGTGCGATACTGCCGCCGGTGCACCGCTGTGATTGCCAGAACACGTTTCACACTGGACCTGTTCTTGTTGGCTTGAAGTGCCATGTGGGGGTGGTTGCAGCAATGGAAGCAAAGGAACTGGCAACATAGAGGTAAACCCATCTAGGAGGATTGTGCCTGACTCTTTTCAGTGGTGGGCAGCCCCAGGATGAGGAACAGTGGCCATGAACTGAAGCACAAGAGGTTTCACCTTGACCCGAGGAAGAACTTGTTCCGTTGCAGTGGCAGAGCACTGAACAAGGTGTGCAGGGGGATGTGGAGGCTCCATCTCTGGGCAAATCCAAGCCCCACCTGGACACGTTCGGGTGCCCCTGCCCTGGCAGGGCTGGGACCGGGTGACCCCCAGGGTCGGCTCATATGGCTGGTGCTGCTTGCAATGACCCTGCACAATAAACGCCTCTGCGTTGAATTCCATGGGCTGCACCTGCACGGGGGCTCGTGCCATGTAAAAATTATTGTGTGAGACCCCATTTCCAGCCCCAAAAACCTCCCCAGGGGAGGAGGAGAAAGTGTGAAACTTTTCTGATGTGAGTGCCAGGTTACCTTTGTGATGCCTCTTCAGGCTGCTAGGCCTGGGGTTCTGGGGTTTGTCTCCACAGCCGTGATGCTTGGGTAGGTGCAGCCACGCTCTGCTGCTGCTTGTTAAAGCAAGGATGCAAGTTCTGCATGTGGGCAAATAGCCTGAAGTTGTAAACTGGTTGAAGAGCAAACTTGAACTCTGTACCACCTGGGTGTTTGCAAATTACTGAGCTTCTCCCAAGGGTGCCAAAGCACAGTCAGGACTTCAGTCCTGCTTCCCTGCCACAGCAGTGTCTTACTTTGTTTAAAAGGCAGTGGACTGTTGGGATTAAGTGTCTTCCTACCCTGATTCCTACCCTGAGAAGAATGGCTGTGAATTTTGAGTGTGAAACTTACTGTGGAAATGTGTCAGGGGCAAACTAAGTGCTGGCTAGATGAGATAGGGATGTTTTCTCAGAGAGTTTGAACACTGTTTTTGGGAAAGAAATGTTTGGAGTGCTGAGGTGTTTTGTACCAAGCCTTGTCTCCAATCTCCAGCCCCACTGTCCTGCCTCTTGTAGCTGTTGGATTCCTCCCAGGAGGCTACTGGTAGGGCACCAGGAAGGTATGTGTTAACCCTGAACATTCAGCCAGGTCTTGATGAGCTGAGGTCATGAAGCAGATGACATTCCAGCCTCTGCAGTGGAAGTGGGCAGCTGCTCGAGCCTCCTGCTTGTTGATGATTCAAAGAGAACTCCAGAAACTCGCCAACAATGTTTTCAAGCTGACAAGCAGGTATTCTTTATTGCAGCACAGGGAGACACGGGGGATAGCTCCTCCAAGCGTCTCTCTGGTGAGCATCAGCCAGGCTATGATTATATTGTCCTTAAACATACATGTTCCTTAGATTACATACATTACATCATACTTTTAGAGAATGCCTCCTGTATGCCTACAAAAATGTGGTAGTGGGGTTTTGGACCCCTGGTGGTTATTTCTTCATCCCATTGTTTTAGGATCGTTGTCTAATCAGTTATATCTGCATTCCTGCAGAACCCCCAAGGCTGAGAAACCCCACCCTGTTTCTTGTAGGAATATAGCCAAAAGTGTTTAGTTATGTCCAGGACCCCCAGAGCTAGAGCACTCATGAGTTCTGTCTTTAAACTTTTAAACGTTTCTTCAGCTTGATCTGTCCATTTTATAAAGGTTGAATTTTCTTTTAGCAGCTCATATAAGGGTCTAACCAGAACACCACAATCATGGATCCAGGGCTGACACCATCCTGTCATTCCCAGAAATGTCCGGATATCTTTAACTGTGGAAGGTCATGGTGTTTGAGAGATTGCTTCCTTCCAAGCTGCTCCAAGTTCTGGTTGCCCTCCTGTTAATTTTGCATCCTAAATAAGATACTCGAGTTTGAATTAGTTGAGCCTTCGATTTAGATACCGGGTATCCATTTAGCCCCAGAAAGTTTAACCGTTTGACAGTCTCCTGAACACATTTTCTCTCAGTTTTGGTAGCAATTAACAGGTCGTCCACATACTGTAGTGAAGTTCCTGTCTAGGTGGGTGCTTCCCAGGATTCTAATTCTCGTGCCAATTGATTTCCCAAAGTGTTGGACTGTTTTTAAATCCCTGAGGTAACACCGTCCAAGTGAGCTGTGTCCTTCTTCCTGTTTCAGGGTTTTCCCATTCAAAAGCAAATAAATTCTGACTTTCTTTGGCCAGGAGAAGACAGGAAAATGCATCCTTTAAGTCCAGAACAG